AAATTAATTCATAAACAGATCTATTCCTACCTCGTCTCGCACAACATACTAAACCCCTGTCAGTTTGGATTCAGGAATAATAAAAGCACAAATGATGCTATTATACACATGCTAGAACTAATATACACTGCTCTCGAGAAGAAAGAAATCCTGCTGGAAATCTTCATTGATTTAAGTAAAGCTTTTGATACAGTCAACCATGATCTGCTGCACATTAAATTAACACACTATGGTATAAGAGGGCACTCCCTCAACTACCTAAACTCATACCTTAGTAACGGAAGCCAATATGTGTACACAAATGGAGCAAGCTTTTCCACTCAGCCAGTCACAGTCGGTGTCCCACAAGGAAGTGTCCTTGGCCTACTCCTCTTTCTCATTTACATCAATGATCTACTGAATGCATCACAACTACTCAAACCCATATTATTTGCAGATGACACTACATACGTCTTCTCTCATCCAAACCCAGTCATACTGGCCAACACTGTTAATGCCGAATTGCAGAAAATATCTACCTGGATGATGACTAATAAGCTTACCTTCAATACTGACAAAACCTATTTCATTCAGTTTGAAAACAGAGCTGCAAATGTTCCACTTAACATAACGCTAAACGGATCACCCATCATAAAACTCACAGACGGAAAATTCCTAGGACTCCACCTTGACTATAGCCTCAAATTCCAGACATATGCAATAAATTTCCAAGAAAATCTCTAAGATAGTAGGCATAATATCAAAGATATGGTACTATGCTCCACATCAGCTCTCCTTGCACAGTATCATACACTCATCTATCTTTATCTCACATATGGAATTTGTGCATGAGGATCAACAACATTAAATCGCCTTAGACCACTAATAACCCAGCAAAAGGCCGTAGTCAGAATGATAACAAATTCCCACTCCCGACAACATACTCCACCAATATTCAAGTCTAATACTGCTCACCATAAAGAACATCCATACTTATTCATGTGGCTACTACATACATAGAACACTACACTCAAACATAAGCCCTCCACTCAAACTTCTCACCAAACTTAACAGGACACATGACCATAACACAAGATACTGATCTCTTTTTGATGTACCCAGTGTCTATATCACACTGTGCAAAAACTCTATGCACATAAAGGGCTCCAAAATTGCAATTTCCCAATTGCCTAAATCTTAAAACTTCAAAACTAGACGTCCATTTTTTTTTTTTAACAAGTTGGCCGTCTCCCACCGAGGCAGGGTGACCCAAAAATAAAGAAAATCCCCAAAACGAAAATACTCTCATCATCATTCAACACTTTCACCACATTCATACATAATCACTGTTTTTGCAGAGGTGCCCAGATACAACAGTTTAGAAGCAAATATAAAGATACAATATGAAAAGTGATATGAAATAATATAGAATATAATATCAGGACCCCAATTATATATACATGTATATACCATTCTATTACACATCCCTCCAAACTGCCAATATCCCAAACACCTCCTTTAAAGTGCAGGCATTGTACTTTCATTTCCAGAACTCAAGTCTGGCTATATAAAAAAAACGGTATAAAAATAACTACATTTTAGTATAAATACCTACCCAAAACAATATTGCCTTACACCCAATTGTAGCATTCTCATACTGCAAACTACTTTCAACAACTCACAATGTCATATTCCCATAATATAATATCAATATTTACTACTGAAACTATTGTAATTTGAGTAAAATTACTGTGTACTATAAATAAAAATAGATGTACAGTTAAACAAACTATGATCAATTTCTTTAGTATTAAGTAGTCTGTAGGCTATTAAATTAAGTCAGCCCATAATGCCTAGGTATGATAGTGGCTCTCTTTGCACTGCAACTCATTACCGTAATTTCATAATCTCAATGTAATTTTGCAAGGAAATAAAATTTATTTGTTTGTTTAGCTTGCTTGCACATATACCAAAGAAAACAGGGTTGCATGAATTACACTATACCAAAGAAAACAGGCTTGCATGAATTACAGTATACCAAAGAAAACAGGCTTGCATGAATTACAGTATACCAAAGAAAACAGGGTTGCATGAATTACAGTATATATGGGGGTAACATTGGTATTTTACATTCTAGCACTGCGAGAAACATAGCAGTACAGTACTGTATATGGGTTTATCTTTACATTCATTTTTTGTACGAGTGATGCATGAAGCTGAGTTTGAAATTAAAGTGTTTTGGGGCATATTTTTGGGTTTAAACTATAAAAACAGGCATTTATAGACATTTTTTTAACCGCTTCCAGAATTCACGTTTTTTCCGAAGTCGCGGGTGGTCTTGGAACGTAACCTCTGCAAATTTGGGGGGACTACTGTACAGTATATACAAGAGTAAAGTGGTACCAACACTGTTATATGATTGTGACGCATGGGTTGTAAATGCTGCAGCGAGAAGGCGGCTGGAGGAAGTGGAGTAGTCGTGTCTAAGGGCAATGTGTGGTGTAAATATTATGCAGAGAATTCATAGTGTGAAAATTAGGAGGAGGTGTAAAGTTACTAAAAGTATTAGTCAGAGGGCTGAAGAGGGACTGTTGAGGTGGTTTGATCATTTAGAGAGAATGGAACAAAGTAGAATGACTTGGAGAGCATATAAATCTGTTGGGGAAGGAAGGCAGGGTAGAGGTCGTCCCCAAAAAGTTTGGAGGAAGTGGGGTAAAGGAGGTTTTGTGGGCGAGGGGCTTGAACTTCCAGCAAGCATGTGTGAGCGTGTTAGATAGGAGTGAATAAAGACGAATGGTTTTTGGGACCTGACGAGCTGTTGGAGTGTGAGCAGGGTAATATTTTGTGAAAAGATTCAGGGAAACTGGTTAGTCGGACTTGAGTCCTGCAAATGGGAAGTATAATGCCTGCTCTTTAAAGGAGGGGTTTAGGATATTGGCAGTTTGGAAGGACTGTCATATCTGAGAGCCTCTGCAAAGACAGTGGTTATGTATGAGTGATGGCAAAAGTGTTGAATGATGATGAAAGTTGTTTCTTTCTTTTTGGGTTTTTCTTTCTTTTTGGGCCAACCTGCCTCAGTGGGAAGTGGCCGATGTGTTAAAAAAAAAAATATGCTGCTGTGGTGTGAGTAGGGTAACATTTATGAAGGAATTCAGAGAAAACTGTTAGCCAAAATTAAGTCTCAGAGATGGGAATTATAGTGCATACACTCAAGAGGATGGGCAAGAATGTTGCAATTTGGAGTCATCAGAACTGTGATGTCAGCAAACTTCTGGAAAGACAGCAATGAGCGGTTTGTTGGAAGACAACTAGTAAGTAAAAAAAAAAAAATCTAAATATTTGTTTACCTAAGACTTACCTCAAACACTGCCCATAATTAAGATTTTACTATAATATTTTGAAGGTCTACCAACACTTCACCGATTTATTTTTTAAGAACAACTAGTATGTACAGTTCTCATCATTAAAGTATGACAGGTGGAGATACTCAGCATGTTTGTATATCTCTCTCTGGAGTTTGGGTGAAACAAAAAGTTATGCTTTCCTGGCATCTCTCAGTGGGCATCTCAGGATTCCCTATGATGTTCTAAATACCATCTAGGCTTGTGTCGTGCATGGATTTGTGCCATTCAGTCTTGAGTGCCAATTTTGTTGGACATTTTCACTTTTAGGCAAATTAATATGAGCAGAAGTTGCTGACACAAGAGATAATTGCAGTAATCACTGGATTACATAAGACAGACCATCAAACAATGGAAATAGTAGAAGCCATCAACATGTGTGAGCATCCACTGAGGACCTGGCTGCATCAGTTCCTTGAGGATGATGTTGATGACATGCTCACACTTAAAGTATGCATACAGAAGCCTACTAAGTAAGTAAGCAAGATTATTCAGGTATACACAAATACTGTTACATAGATTATCATACATAGCAGCATATGTTTAGAGAACCTAGGATAACCCAAAAAAGTCAGACAGAGTGATTTATTTCCATTGGGGTCCTTTACATTAACTATAATTATGGACCTAGAACTTCTCTATGATCATTTATCCAAATCTTTCAGTGTGGTGCACAGATTTTTATGTAAGACAGTTTATTTTGCCACATTGCAAAATCTGCAGTTTAGCAGCTTCATGACTGTGAGGTGCCCTTCTTCAATGACTGAACAGAATCTTCCTCACACTTAAACCACAATGAGAACCTCTGGGCTGTGATAAAGACGGATCTACTAGGGAAAGGATATTGGTCACTTTCATGGCATAATTCAGGTCACCATCCACAAATCATGAGGAAAACTCACTCCCATGAAACCCTGAACAATGTGTGTTAATCACTGTCTAGAGCAGGGATTCTCAAGTTTTCTTCCATCATTAACCCCCTCGGCATGATGTATTTCTCCATTCACCCCTTTACTTCTGTACAAAATTTTATCGCCATCATAAAGGGACAGAAAAACAAGGTTAGAAAAAATAAATTAATCAGGTTTTGAATAAAAATAGCAATATACATTCATATTACCAAAAATAAAAAAAATTAAACATTCTTTTTAAAAGAAATAATTATACAGTCCATTTTTATCACAAAAAAAAACAGAAACACACAAACATTTTTAGCATTCTCTCTCTCTCACACACACACACACACAATTTTACAAAATGAAATTTAATTTATTATTCGATTATCAGGTACATCAAATATTTTCCCCTTGCCATGTAATTTTTACCCCCAAGGGGTAAATTTACCCCTGGTTGAGAATCACTGGCCTAGAGGATTGAAGGATGTTCTAAAGCACAAGAAATGGCTTATTTTTGGTTGTGGTTTAAGAGGAGGCCCCAGCATACTTTAATGACAACCACTGTACAATAACATAATTCTCTTAAATAAACAAATTTAATAAGAATTTGAATTATATAATTACCAAGTGCAAATAAAGAAAATTTGTAGATACATAAGTATAAAAAAAATTGGAAATTTATTACATTATAATACTGAGAAAATGAAATTAAGAAGCCACAAACCTTGAAATATTGCTGGACAAAGTCAAATTTTTCTGATGATGTCATGTCAGGCTTAACAAGGCTATGTAGAAGAGCATTGACTACAATAGATCCAGCATTAACCAATGGATTGTGTGGCTTATCTGAGGAATGATACAAATAAAATTCTTAGGTTAGTAGACAGCAAATGTTTGAGATACTACTGTATATTGTTCTTTTATGTGAGTGAAAAACAGAAGCTTGTAAAAGCATATTATACCCTGTGATAGGACTACTGGCTTTTGTTTTCTCCTTTGCCTCATGACCATAATTTACTTCTACTTACATCTGTCATGCCTTTAACATTGTGTTTCTCTTAATGCAATTTTTGCAATCTGCAACCCTTTGAAGCTTAGTGGTACAACATGCAGCTTACAACCAAAGGGACCCAAGTTCAATCCCAGGCTACACACCAGTGCACCCTGGCAACATGCCTAGTTCAGACAACACATTATTTGGCATGATTATTTCTCTAGGACAGAGGAAGGCATTGGACACACATTGTTTAATGCATGCATAAGCCCATAAAAAAATAGATCTAATCATGTGGTGCCTCTTAGTTTTAAAACCGAGGAAGAAAACAATGACAAGACAGATAATTCAAGACAAAAGAGCATAACAATCAGCTATCAAGGCCCACCATAAAATATTACTTCCCCATCTTAATAATATTTAGTTAAAAGGTACCTAGAATCCTTACAAATTATCATTATCAATTATGGGTACTACACTGATTCAAGTTGAACTACCACATAAGTGAATCACAGGTGTTATGAGAGCTGTTATTTGTAACAGTCAAAGTAACCAACAGTGGAAAGATTCTATTCAAAGCCTATCATTTGTTAATTACATCACAGCTCTGTCATGAGATAAATCTAATCCAAGTATTAATTTGCAGAAGAAATGCAAACTGTAGGATATGTATGGACATCTTAACTATACTGCATATATGCTGCTCTTAGGTTAGAATTACACTCCAGTGCTTAGCATTAGTAAAATCAATTTTATTCATTAGAAATGAAGAGTACAAGTTAAACAGAATTATCATGGGAGACAGGAACCTCAAAATAAAAGAAAAATCTTCAATTTAATGAATTAATGGAGACTGGGGTGGATAGATACAGTGGGAAATACAGTGCTTGCACTATAAAGGAGGAATTTGGGTTATATTCTATTTAGAGGGACATCTAAAGTATTGTATCTGTGTGCCTCTAGCAAAACAGTGATAATGTAAATGATGATGGTGAAAGTGTTTCTCTTTCAGGTCACCCTGCCTCAGTGAGATTGTTATGCCAAGATCATAACAATAATTAACAATTCTGTAACCAACAGACTTTGACCATTGTTATATCAGGCTATGCATTCCCTGTTTGAAACAATCTAATGTCAAAAGAAATAGTGTACATAGTGTTAAATTATTTTTTTTTTATTATCACACCGGCCGATTCCCACCAAGGCAGGGTGGCCCGAAAAAGAAAAACTTTCACCATCATTCACTCCATCACTGTCTTGCCAGAAGGGTGCTTTACACTACAGTTTTTAAACTGCAACATTAACACCCCTCCTTCAGAGTGCAGGCACTGTACTTCCCATCTCCAGGACTCAAGTCCGGCCTGCCGGTTTCCCTGAATCCCTTCATAAATGTTACTTTGCTCACACTCCAACAGCACGTCAAGTATTAAAAACCATTTGTCTCCATTCACTCCTATCAAACACGCTCACGCATGCCTGCTGGAAGTCCAAGCCCCTCGCACACAAAACCTCCTTTACCCCCTCCCTCCAACCCTTCCTAGGCCGACCCCTACCCCGCCTTCCTTCCACTACAGACTGATACACTCTTGAAGTCATTCTGTTTCGCTCCATTCTCTCTACATGTCCGAACCACCTCAACAACCCTTCCTCAGCCCTCTGGACAACAGTTTTGGTAATCCCGCACCTCCTCCCAACCTCCAAACTACGAATTCTCTGCATTATATTCACACCACACATTGCCCTCAGACATGACATCTCCACTGCCTCCAGCCTTCTCCTCGCTGCAACATTCATCACCCACGCTTCACACCCATATAAGAGCGTTGGTAAAACTATACTCTCATACATTCCCCTCTTTGCCTCCAAGGACAAAGTTCTTTGTCTCCACAGACTCCTAAGTGCACCACTCACTCTTTTTCCCTCATCAATTCTATGATTCACCTCATCTTTCATAGACCCATCTGCTGACACGTCCACTCCCAAATATCTGAATACGTTCACCTCCTCCATACTCTCTCCCTCCAATCTGATATTCAATCTTTCATCACCTAATCTTTTTGTTATCCTCATAACCTTACTCTTTCCTGTATTCACCTTTAATTTTCTTCTTTTGCACACCCTACCAAATTCATCCACCAATCTCTGCAACTTCTCTTCAGAATCTCCCAAGAGCACAGTGTCATCAGCAAAGAGCAGCTGTGACAACTCCCACTTTGTGTGTGATTCTTTATCTTTTAACTCCACGCCTCTTGCCAAGACCCTCGCATTTACTTCTCTTACAACCCCATCTATAAATATATTAAACAACCACGGTGACATCACACATCCCTGTCTAAGGCCTACTTTTACTGGGAAAAAATTTCCCTCTTTCCTACATACTCTAACTTGAGCCTCACTATCCTCGTAAAAACTCTTCACTGCTTTCAGTAACCTACCTCCTACACCATACACTTGCAACATCTGCCACATTGCCCCCCCTATCCCCCCTGTCATACGCCTTTTCCAAATCCATAAATGCCACAAAGACCTCTTTAGCCTTATCTAAATACTGTTCACTTATATGTTTCACTGTAAACACCTGGTCCACACACCCCCTACCTTTCCTAAAGCCTCCTTGTTCATCTGCTATCCTATTCTCCGTCTTACTCTTAATTCTTTCAATTATAACTCTACCATACACTTTACCAGGTACACTCAACAGACTTATCCCCCTATAATTTCTGCACTCTCTTTTATCCCCTTTGCCTTTATACAAAGGAACTATGCATGCTCTCTGCCAATCCCTAGGTACCTTACCTTCTTCCATACATTTATTAAATAATTGCACCAACCACTCCAAAACTATATCCCCACCTGCTTTTAACATTTCTATCTTTATCCCATCAATCCCGGCTGCCTTACCCCCTTTCATTTTACCTACTGCCTCACGAACTTCCCCCACACTCACAACTGGCTCTTCCTCACTCCTACAAGATGTTATTCCTCCTTGCCCTATACACAAATCACAGCTTCCCTATCTTCATCAACATTTAACAATTCCTCAAAATATTCCCTCCATCTTCCCAATACCTCTAACTCTCCATTTAATAACTCTCCTCTCCTATTTTTAACTGACAAATCCATTTGTTCTCTAGGCTTTCTTAACTTGTTAATCTCACTCCAAAACTTTTTCTTATTTTCAACAAAATTTGTTGATAACATCTCACCCACTCTCTCATTTGCTCTCTTTTTACATTGCTTCACCACTCTCTTAACTTCTCTCTTTTTCTCCATATACTCTTCCCTCCTTGCATCACTTCTACTTTGTAAAAACTTCTCATATGCTAACTTTTTCTCCCTTACTACTCTCTTTACATCATCATTCCACCAATCGCTCCTCTTCCCTCCTGCACCCACTTTCCTGTAACCACAAACTTCTGCTGAACACTCTAACACTACATTTTTAAACCTACCCCATACCTCTTCGACCCCATTGCCTATGCTCTCATTAGCCCATCTATCCTCCAATAGCTGTTTATATCTTACCCTAACTGCCTCCTCTTTTAGTTTATAAACCTTCACCTCTCTCTTCCCTGATGCTTCTATTCTCCTTGTATCCCATCTACCTTTTACTCTCAGTGTAGCTACAACTAGAAAGTGATCTGATATATCTGTGGCCCCTCTATAAACATGTACATCCTGAAGTCTACTCAACAGTCTTTTATCTACCAATACATAATCCAACAAACTACTGTCATTTCGCCCTACATCATATCGTGTATACTTATTTATCCTCTTTTTCTTAAAATATGTATTACCTATAACTAAACCCCTTTCTATACAAAGTTCAATCAAAGGGCTCCCATTATCATTTACACCTGGCACCCCAAACTTACCTACCACACCCTCTCTAAAAGTTTCTCCTACTTTAGCATTCAAGTCCCCTACCACAATTACTCTCTCACTTGGTTCAAAGGCTCCTATACATTCACTTAACATCTCCCAAAATCTCTCTCTCTCCTCTGCATTCCTCTCTTCTCCAGGTGCATACACGCTTACTATGACCCACTTCTCGCATCCAACCTTTACTTTAATCCACATAATTCTTGAATTTACACATTCATATTCTCTTTTCTCCTTCCATAACTGATCATTTAACATTACTGCTACCCCTTCCTTTGCTCTAACTCTCTCAGATACTCCAGATTTAATCCCATTTATTTCCCCCCCACTGAAACTCTCCTACCCCCTTCAGCTTTGTTTCGCTTAGGGCCAGGACATCCAACTTCTTTTCATTCATAACATCAGCAATCATCTGTTTCTTGTCATCCGCACTACATCCACGCACATTTAAGCAACCCAGTTTTATAAAGTTTTTCTTCTTCTCTTTTTTAGTAATTGTATACAGGAGAAGGGGTTACTAGCCCATTGCTCCCGGCATTTTAGTCGCCTCATACGACACGCATGGCTTACGGAGGAAAGATTCTTTTCCACTTCCCCATGGACAATAGAAGAAATAAAAAAGAACAAGAGCTATTTAGAAAAAGGAGAAAAACCTAGATGTATGTATATATATATATGCATGTGCGTGTCTGTGAAGTGTGACCAAAGTGTAAGTAGGAGTAGCAAGATATCCCTGTTATCTTAGCGTGTTTATGAGACAGAAAAAGAAACCAGCAATCCTACCATCATGCAAAACAGTTACAGGTTTTTGTTTCACAGTCATCTGGCAGGACGGTAGTACTTCCCTGGGTGGTTGCTGTCTACCAACCTACTACCTAGTGTTAAATATTAAAAGCAATAAAAAACTGAAAAATAACCATAATTTAGCATCAAAAAATTAAAAAATGCAAATATCACTGGCACATTTATGCCAGTTACCAACGAGTAATAATTTTTTTTGGTAAGTTCAACATATCATAAAATCGTAAGTTTAAATCAGATTCCATTCATTTTAGTCTTATCTGATTCATAACAACACGCCCCCTTCAGTCTATAGGAAGTATCTTTTTTTTTTTTTTAGTCATGCCACACACACAGAAATTTTAATTTCTGGGTATGCCACTGTTAAGGAGTTTACTAAGGAATGGTAATATATAATCCTTTAACACATTGTGACCTCTAGTCTTTTAAACATCTGCCAATCCATGAAATATTACTGCTTGAACCATTAATTGTAATATTGTTTTTATGTGAAACTTCAAGATTATTATTCTTATAAACCTCCACCTTGACTACGTCACATTAGTATTAAGATTAAATAAGATTTTAATAGTTAACAACTTGTCTAGTTTTAAGTAGTTACTATGTACTAGGATTAGTCTTCCCAAAATGCCCTGGCATGACAGTGGCTTTCTTTGTACTTAGCAAACCAAAACTGTAATTATACATTGTAACCTTTACAAAGAAATAAAATCTTTATCTTTATCTTTACCTTTATACACTATATTTAAGGCTCATGTATTTTAAATCTTTCAGAAATATATACAGAATATGTACTTCACAGAAGTGCATTATTTAAATGCTTCTCTTACAGCAGACATTACTACTGACCATTATAATCGAGGACAATAGCGTTGAACATGCGACCACTGGGCTCTGTACCAACATATTTGTGGACTGTCTCATTGCCCAGCTCATTAAGTGCGATGCCGTACGTCACAGGTTTACTGAAGGAATACCAAGGAGGAAAGACAAGCAGAGCATGAATAAAGAGTTAACCAAAATGCAACATGTTTTTGAAAGGTATCACAAACATTAATAAAGTTCGTGTCTTTAATCAAATTATATCATGAGGATATGCAAGAATTTTTTTACCAAGCACCCAAGTCACAGCACATTATTTAAATAGGAAAAGTGTGCTTGTAACTTGAGTGGCTGTTAAAAAAAAAGCCTATCCTTCTCTATCATTTATTAACTTTTTTTTATTAATACATCGGCTATTTCCCACCAAGGCAGGGTGACCTGAAAAAGAAGAAACATTTTCAACATCATTCACTCCGTCATTGTCTAGCCAGAGGTGCACCTATACTCCAGTTAAAAAACTGCAACATCAACACCCCTCCTTCAGAACACAGGCACTGTACTTCCCACCTCTAGGACTCAAGTCCAGCTTATTGGTTTCCTTAAATCCCTTTATAAAAAAATTCTACTTTGCTCACACTCCAACAGCATGTCAAGTCATGAAAACCATTCATCTCTACTCGCTCCTAACACACTCACGAACGCTTGCTGGAAGTCCAAGCCCCTCGCACACAAAGCCTCCTTCACCCCCCACTCCCTCCAACCTTTCCTAGGCCAACTCCTACCCCACCTTTCTTTTACTACAGATTTATAGGCTCTTCAAGTCATTCTATTATGTTCCAACCTCTCTAAATGTCTGAACCACCTCAACAACCCCTCCTCAGCCTTCTGGATAATACTTTTAGTAACCCTGCACCTCCTCCTAATTTCCAAACATGGATTCTCTGCATTGCATTCATACCACACATTGCCCTCAGACACAACATCTCCACTGCCTCCAGCCTTCTCCTTGTTGAAACATTCACCACCCGTGCTTCACATCCATATAATAGTATTGGTATAACTATGCTTTCATACATTCCCCTTCTTTACTTCCAATGATAACATTCTTAGTCTCCACAGATTCCTCAGTGCACCACTCACCTTTTTGCCCTCATCAGTTCTATGATTCACCTCATCTTTCACAGTCCTATCTGCTGACAAGTCAACTCCCAAATATCTGAATACATTCACTTCTTCCATACTCCCTCCATCCCTTCTCTTTCAATTATCATTAAAGATATTTGAACTTTAACAATGGAGTCTCTTGAGAATTATCAAGGCTATCTATGAGTATCTATTTCTATCAATTACCTGTGTGGCAGTCTGAGTGAAGAATAAGTAGGCAACATAACTAGAGTGTACTGACCCTATCACTGACATGTACATGATATATGTAGCAAGAAATGACTGATTGCCTAGGCACCTACTGCATACCAAACTACTGTATACCATATGTGCCCCCTTTAAATTGACAAGATGAACAATAGTATACTTCCTGTCAAATGAAAAATTTGGGGGAGACAAAAAGAATACACAGATACCTGATTATACTTAGTCCTTGAACCAAGTTGCTTTTTATTTCTTCCACTGTGCTCTATTTGCAGGTATACTGATTGTCAGACTATCATCTGTCAACTTTGGTGACTCACCCACACCTGTGGCCCCTTCTGTATTACCTACAATAGATATATTGAGCCTAGGAGCATATGCAAGATTTAAATGACACAGATTCTTATGTGAGGTCAGGTCTTGTATCCTTACAAGGTGCCCTGTAGCCTGGTGGCTAAAGCTCTCGCTTCATATGGCGAGGTTCTGCATTCGATCCCCAGCGAGGGTAGAGGGTACCTGGGAGTTAGTCAACTGGTGTGGGTCGCAGCCTAGGACAAAACTGGCCTAATTTGCCTGAAATGCTCTGCATAACAAGCGGCTTTCTATGTAGTAGTATGTCATTGATGTCAGCTAGGTCTGCATACCATGTACAGTGGTCCCTCGCTTTTCGTAGTTCTCGGCAATCGTAAATTTCGCCAATCATAGCGGTATTTTCGTATAAACATGGACTCGCTTTTCATAGGTTGACTCGCGAATAGTAGTTCGTCCAGGACGCTTACGCACGGTGTGAGCAGGGGAGGCCTCCCTACCCAGCCAGTCTGGCATTGTTTACCAGTGAGTGAAGGTCCCCTCAAGTGCTCCTACGAAATATTTCATAATATTCCACTCATTTTAGTGCTTGCAAGTACTAAATAAGCTACCATGGCTCCAAAGAAAGCTCCTAGTGCCAAGCCTGTGGTAAAGAAGGTGAGAAATATGTACAGTGACAAAGTCTTGTACCATTTTAGGGAAGTGTTAAAGAGACGCCAGAAACAGAGCTCTCTCCACAGTTACTTTGCGAGACAGGACTAGAGTGACTCTCAAGGTGGTCCTAGTGGCATTAAGAAACAGAGAAGAGAAGCAACCCCAGAGAAGCAATTGGTACCTGAGGTGTTGCTGGAAGGGGATTCCCCTTCCAAACTGTAAACAATCCAATCTCTCTCCTCCTCCAGTCTCCCATACACTAAGAAAAATCTCCAATAAAGGTAAGTGTTATGCAGTTAATGTTTCATTCATCATTTCCCATTGTATTGTTTATGTACTACATGTAAATTTCATGTAAAAAAATTTTTTGTTTTAATACTTCTGAGTGTCAGAAACGGATTAATTGTATTTACATTATTTCTTATGGGGAAAATTGATTCGCAAATCGTAAATTTCGTTTATAGTAGCTCCTCCAGGAACGAATTAATTACGAAAAACGAGGGACCACTGTACATGTACTTGCAGTAAATAAGGATATTATTATTATATTATTATTATTATTATTATTATTATTATATTATTATTATTATTATTATATACATCATTCCCCACCTGGAAAATGAATATACACTGGGCACCATCATATTTTGACCATCTCCTCAACTTCACTACAATATAGCTTCCTCTTCTACTGCTAGTCCATCCTGTGGCACTGCCAGGGGATGGGAAGTTATGTGGCTGTCTCTAAGTAGCCAACTGCATGGGTGGCTTCTCAATGTTTTGCAGGGACATATAGGTCAGTAAGTTGCCTTCTCTCCCAGTACTCCTATGGATTATCCTCCTGACCATACAAACTGTAACCTCTGCACTGAGAAGGGTGGACACACAACAGCCAGGCAGTGACACCCCACTGCTAAAAAAAATCCTGAATTTCAGTTAGAGAAGTTGGCACCCTCATATGTGGAAACTTCCTTGGAAACTTCTCACTTAGTGAAGTAACCCCTCTGCTTGAGGATGAGGGTGGCTAATGAGACACCACTGAGCAGGTGTGACAACTCCTACCAGCCTATCCACAGAGACCATATACACTTGGCCATAAACATGGAACAGGATTGCCCTGCCTATTGCTCTACCATGGTGTAACCCACCTCAGATGATGTCAGAAGGTGGTCCCCAAACAAGAAGCAAAATGGTGAGTTAATCAACATGCAGCAGCAGTACTGTTGCTGTGCTATGAGCTTTATACCCTCTATACTCCAATCAGTAACCACTGCTGTTGGTCAGGATTTATCATAGCACTGTGTATACTAGCCCATTTTCTATTATCAAATAGATAGTATTTTTTTGAATGCTTGAACCTCTGTTGTAGGTGCTGCCAACTGCTATTCCAGCATCTGCTATACCATGTTGTAGGTGCAATGAAAGGTATTCATAACAGGTAAATACAATAGGTAAGAGGTTTACCTGGAGAGGGTTTAGGGGGTCAATGCCCCTGCGGCTCAGTCTGAGACCGGGCCTCATGGTGGATCAGGGTCTGATCAACCAATCTGTTACTGCTGGCCACACACAAGCTGACGTACAAACCACAGCCCGGTTGGTCAGGTATTGACTTTAAGTGCCTGTCCAGTGCCTTCTTAAAGACAGCCAGAGGTCTACTGGTAATCCCCCTTATGTACGCTGGGAGGCAGTTGAACAGTCTTGGGCCCCAGACACTTATTGTGTTGTCTCTCAATGTACTCGTGGCACCCCTGCTTTTCATTGGGGAAATGTTGCATCTCCTGCCGAGTCTTTTCCTTTCATAGGGTGTGATTTTCGTGTGCAGGTTTGGTACCAATCCCTCCAGGACCTTCCAAGTGTATATTATCATGTATCTCTCTCGCCTGCATTCCAGGGAATACAGATCAAGGATCTTCAACCATTCCCAGTAATTTAAGTACCTTATCGTATTTGTGTGTCCCATGAAAGTTCTTTGTATGTTCTCCAGGTCTGCAATGTCACCAGCCTTGAAGGGGGCCATTAGTGTACAGCAGTATTCCAGCCGAGAGAGCACAAACGATTTGAAGAGAATCATCATGGGTTTGGTGTCCCTAATTTTGAAGGTTATCATTTTCCTAGCAGATGAGGTAGATACATTGTTGTGGTTTTTGAAGGCGAGGTCTTCTGACATCACTCCCAGATCCTTCACATTACTTTTCTGCTCTACTGTATGGTTAGAATTTGTCGTATACCCTGACACATTGTTAATTTCCTGAAGTTTTCCATATCTGAGTACAGTAGTTGAAATTTCTCCTCACTGAACTTCATATTGTTTTGAGTGGCCCATTCGAAGATTTGGCTGATGTCTGCTTAGAGTCTCGCGGTGTCTTCGATGGAGGTCACTACCATGGTAATCCAGGTGTCATCTGCAAATGAAGACACGGAGATATGGCATACATCTCTGTATGTCAGAAATGAGGATGAGGAATAGAATGGGACCGAGTACTGTGCCTTGTGGAACAGAGCTTTTTACTGTGGCTGCCTGGGGCTTTACTTTGTTTACTATTACTCTTTGTGTTCTATTTTTCAGGAATTTATAGATCCATCTATCAACTTTTCCTGTTATTCCTTTATCACGCATTTTGTGTGCTATTACACCATGGTCACACTTGTTGAAAGCTTTTGCAAAGTCTGCCTATACTACATCAGTATTTTGTTTATCCTCTACAGCATCCAGGGCCTTGTCATAGTGGTCCAGTAGCTGGGACAGGCAGGAGCGAGCTGCTCTGAACCCGTGTTGCCCTGGGTTGTGTAACTAATGGGTATCTAGGTGGCTGGCGATCTTCCTTCTTAGAACCCTCTCAAAGATTTTTATGATATGGGGTGTTAGTGTTATCGGTCTGTAGTTCTTTGCAATTGCTTAACTGCCACCTTTGTGAAGTGGGGCTATGTCTGTTGTTTTTAGTGTGTGTGGGATGGCCCCTGTGTCCATGCTCCCTCTCCATAAAATGCTGAAAGCACACAATAGGGGCTTCTTGCAATTCTTGAAGAACACAGAGTTCCATGAGTCTGGGTTTGGGGCAGAGTGCATGGGCATGTCATTTATTGCCTCCTCACAGTCTTGTGGAGTTAGGATAATTTACAAGATTTTTGAGATGACCAAATTTTGGGTTTCATTCATAAAGAATTCACTTGGATTGTTGACCCTTAGTCTGGGCAGTGGCTCATTGAACACTGAGTCATATTGGGACTTTATAATCTCACTCATTTCTTGACTGTCATCTGTGCATGTCCCATCCTGCCTAAGCAGGGGCCCAATATTGGATGTTGTTTTTCCCTTAGATTTGGCATAAGAGAAGAAGTATTTTGGATTTTTTTCAACTTCCTTTATGGTTTTTAGTTCTTCCTGTGATTCTTGTCTCCTGTAAGATTCCTTCAGCATAAGTTCAATATTTGCAATTTCATTGACTAGTGCCTCCCTTTATATTTCAGATACATTGGCCCCACTCAGCAGCTCTGTGACTTTTCGCCTTCATCTGTATAGGGAGCATCTCTCTCTTTCTAGTTTACATCTTCTCTTTCTTTTTCTTAATGGAATGTGTCTTGAGCAGATCTCAAGAACCATAGAATTCATTTTCTCAAGGCAAATGTTCGGATTCGTGTTGTTTAGGATATCTTCCCAGCTTGTTTCATTTAGGACATGGTTTACTTGATCCCACTGTATGTCTTTGTTATTGAAATTGAATTTCGTGAAGAGACCTTCATGACTGCTCACATTTTGCTGGTCAGGGGCCCTGTGCATAAATGTCTGTACCTCTATTATGTTGTGATCTGAGTGTATTGTCTTTGATACGGTTATATTACGTATCAGATCATCGCTGTTAGTGAAGATGAGGTCCAGTATATTTTCTAGTCTTGTAGGCTCTACTATCTGCTGGTTTAAGGTGAATTTGGTGCAGAGATTTAATAGTTTGTGTGTGTGTGAATTTTCATCTGAGCTGCCTCCTGGGGTGATCTCTGCTAAAACAGTGTTTGCTATACTCCTCCATTTTAGGTGTCTCAAGTTGAAATCTCCTAACAGTAAGATGTTTGGGGCAGGTAAAAATAGGTAGCCACAGACCTTCTTAATTACACTCAATGTGAAAGACATTTGTCGGTATTATTACTATATTATAAATTAATATTAACCCCTTCTCCTGTATATACGTATTACTAAATGTAAAAGGAGAAACTTTCGTTTTTCCTTTTGGGCCACCCCGCCTCGGTGGGATACGGCCGGTGTGTTGAAAGAAGAAAGAAATTAATATTTCTAGGGTAGACTAATACCAGCAATTAATTTGCAGACACCTCCTCATATTTCATTACCAATATTCCTAAGAGTTACAACTCCAATTCTTTGAAGCCTTGAGTTGGTTACAGGCTTACTTCTAATTCTGCCCCAAATCCTGTACATAATTATGGGATTTGCAAAGCATAACAACTTTTTCCCACACGGGTTATGCATCCCAAAAATCATAAATTTTAATGCGCCTTCTATACATAAAAACTTTGATGTTTAAAAGTGGCACATTTCAAATGATGAGACAAGACATTCTGAAGATATCAGAAGGAAACAAAGGTAGTGGCAAAAAATATTATCTTCTAAAATTTTACTGGTTTACCTAATAAATCCTGAATAGTTGAGGCAGCACGTAAACATTTTTCTTTATAGAGGTGAAAGAAAAGTTACAGTGAAGGACACAGCAACAGAGTAGAGGTGCTTATAAAGATGTTGCATTTTTTGATGAATTTGAATATTTCCAGTGCAGTGTTTGGTTGAGTACATTTACAAAGTGACCTTTCAGTAAAGATAAAATAATTCAGAGAAATGGATAGATAGAATAGCTATATTTTCTAGAAGTTGTAGCCACTATTTATTAGTACAGAAGGACCCCACTTTACAGCTCTTCACTTTATGGCATTCCACTAATACAGTGGTTTTTCAATTATACCTATTCTTCATTTATTCAGACTTCGTACAATAAATATATTCACCACTCACTATAAGCTAAGGATGAAAATATTTTAAGGTAAGTAATGTGTATGCTGTATAGGCATTTTTTAGGCCTAGCTCTACTGCTCACTTAATATATGATTGTGTAAACATGTTATCAGACTTTTACATGCATTTAAAAGTGAAAAAGGCTGTTTCATTTAACAGCGATTTTTACTTTACAGCAGTAGCCTGGAACCTAACCTACTGTATGAGTGGGGCCTTCCTGTAAAGTAATTCAGGAAGTTAACAAACCTGCAAGATTGCATAGTGAAATTAATGTTTGTATCACCAATTTCATATCGCTGACCATCAACAGAGCACACTGCTACACCCCAATGGTCTGGACTAAACCTTGCCAACTGAGGAATGTATGATGCCACCTGCAACAATGCATGCATATATGACTTATCAATAATATTACTATCAGATATGTTATAAAATTTATAATTAGCATTCACTGAAAAGGAAAATTAATAAGTGTCCAATTAAAAACTTCACTATCTATCAAGTAAGTTTTTGCATAAAATCATAAGTAGAAAATAGTAGCAAACCAAAAGTTTGCTGAAATAATAATATACATTAATATAATTACCAATAAACAAAGAAAAAAAAGTATAGTACGTATTTTTTTAACAAAGAGTAAATAATAATTTTCCTAAAAAAATTAAAGATATTTCATAATAACTAAGAAGGAAACAGCACACTGTACTGTACATACTGGTATATTTAACAATGTACCATATTCGAACCAAATATAGCATCACCATAGGTCTACTGTATTATTTTGTATTCAGCCTAAAGGAGTATAGCCTGAAAGTTATGACTTATTAAATCAGCTCATGGCAGGCTATGAGGTCTTAATGCATTTAGATACTAAATTACCATAACTAAGACAGGAAATCTGAGAACATATGCACATAAACACAGACATATGCTTTTCCAACTCCATTTATAATAAATCTAGTGCCAATCATTATGAAACATTATTTAGAATGGGCAGTGGAAGTGTGGTGGTGTGCCCTATATTCAAAATCTTGTAGAACAGCTAGTATGATCTAACTACTAAACAGCAAGAATGTATACAGAAACCTAATATGGCATAAAAATTTATGAAAACGAACCAAACAGCATCCAAACCAACCAGATATCAAGGCATTCGTCCTATCTCACCCACACACCAACCCAACCCTGATGCTAGACAAGCTGCTCACCTGCCCTTGAATCAAAGGGTGAATATCAGTCAATCTTCAAAGTTGTACTCATTTGTTCCATGGGTAGAAATGCACATCAGAGAACTTAGAATAATCTCAGGAAGCAGAGAAACATAAGTGAAAAAATTCCTTTCTACCAAGTTCTTTTCTTAACAGCCCAGGGGCTGGTGCCTCCCTGCTCACAGTACCCATACCAACAATAATAAACATGGATGACCTATAAGATTTGTTCCTCAACTCCACAGGTTTTGGTGGAAAAACAAAACTGGTCAACATTATCAATGCCCAAACTCATGAAATTAAGCCTTTAACAGAAGAGGAGACAAGAAGGCTTACACTGAACATAAACTCTCCCTAACTAGAAAAATTTATGAAAACTGCCGCCTGCCAAAAAACAATGCAATGGTGTAAATATTATGCAGAAAATTCGGAGTGTGGAAATTAGGAGAAGGTGTGGAGTTAATAAAAGTATTAGTCAGAGGGCTGAAGAGGGGCTGTTGAGATGGTTTGGTCATTTAGAGAGAATGGATCAAAGTAGAATGACATGGAGAGCGTATAAATCTGTACAGGAAGGAAGGCGGGGTAGGGGTCGTCCTCGAAAAGGTTGGAGGGAGGGGGGTAAAGGAGGTTTTGTGGGCGAGGGGCTTGGACTTCCAGCAAGCGTGCGTGAGTATGTTAGATAGGAGTGAATGGAGACGAATGGTATTTGGGACCTGACGATCTGTTGGAGTGTGAGCAGGGTAATATTTAGTGAAGGGATTCAGGGAAACTGGTTATTTTATATAGCCAAACTTGAGTCCTGGAAATGGGAAGTACAATGCCTGCACTTTAAAGGAGGGGTTTGGGATATTGGCAGTTTGGAGGGATACGTTGTGTATCTTTATATGTATATACTTCTAAACTGTTGTGTTCTGAGCACCTCTGCAAAAACAGTGATTATGTGTGAGTGAAGTGAAAGTGTTGAATGATGATGAAAGTATTTTCATTTTGGGGATTTTCTTTCTTTTTGGGTCACCCTACCTCGGTGGGAGACAGCCGACTTGTTAAAAAAAAAAAAACTAAAGGCACCAAATAAGAGCTGCAAACAACAATAATCATATGAAATAAACTGAAAACAATACAACTCTCTCAATAAAAAGACAGATTATAATAAAGGCTGGAATACACAATTAAACAAAGAATTCTCTGATCACATTTTCAAGCACTCAGATCAGTTTCAACGGCAGCAACACAAAGATCCCACCAACTGACAGTCAAGTTTCTTGCTTGGGAACATCATTTCAACTAATAAAAGATAAGATTAATTGAATATTGATCCTAGACAAATTAAAGAAGCAGTCGTGTTATGCAAACCCAGAAAAAGAGTCCAATCTTGCTTGGATTTTATATCCCCCTCAGAAAGAAAAGGTTATAGTATATGAAATAAAGCTTACTTGTTACAGCAGAACCCCTGTATCCACAGATTTGGTTTCAATGGTTTCAGCTATCCAAGGTTTACTGTAGCCCAAAAATAACCTTTAATTTTGCTTAATAATGATTCCAGCACACAAAAGTCGACAAATATCGACTTGGATGACAGCCAATAAACTTACACTTAACACTTACCAAAACCTACTATATTAAGTTTGGTAGGAGAGCAGGTGTTGTACAACTTAACATTAAGATCGACAACACTCTAATTACCAGACATAATGAGGGCAAATTCCTTGGCCTATACCTCAACAACAACCTAAATTTCAGCACCCATATCCAACACATAACAAAAAAAGTATCCAAAACGGTGTGGATCCTCTCCAAGATACAATACTACGTGCTGCAAACTGCCCTTTTCACACTATACCATCCACTTACATATCCATACCTCACCTATGCTATCTGTGCTTGGGGTTCAACTGCAGCAACACACCTAAAGCCAATAATAACCCAACAAAAAGCTGCAGTAAGAATAATCACTAAATCCCATCCCTGGCAACACACCCCCCACTCTTCATAGATCTAAACTTACTCCCTGTTCAGAACATCCACACTTACTACTGTGCAATCTATATCTACAGGACCTTAAATTCCAATATTAACCTTGACCTAAAATGCTTTCTTGATAGTTGTGACAGGATCCACAGGCATAACACCAGACACAAACATCTCTATGACATTCCCCGTGTCTGACTAAACCTTTACAAAAATTCATTGCATTTCAAAGGACCTAAAATCTGGAACACCCTACATGAAAACTCTAGAACTGCAGACACATTCATCACTTTCAAAACTACAGTTAGAAAACATCTTATCTCCCTGATACACCCCGACAACTAACTACATGATAACCACCTGGTGGTTCACAATTACACTCACTCACCCACTGACTATAAACACAGAAATACTAATCTTAATCTTAAAATAATGAATCCTAACTAGTCATAAGTTTGCCTATGATACTCCAATATAGACACTTTGTATTGTGCTAAAACAAAAACATTCACATTGCTAAACTCACAAATTATAATGTAGTCACCTAGCCTTAATACCATAATCTGTAAGGATTTAATGTTAAGAATTAATCTAAGTCTGCCCGAAATGCCTAGCCATGCTAGGTGTCCTAGTGGCCCCCTCTGTAATTAGTATTTTATAACATGTAAACCGCACAATATCCAAATCCTGTAAACCCCACATTGTAACCCTTATAGAGAATAAACTTGAATTGAACTGAATTGAATTGAATGGTGGCAGTTCTTCAAAGTCTAAGAGAAGCCGTGAAGTGCTTCCTGTCAGTGAAAAAATGCTAATTCTCTACTTATTCTGCATAATTTATGAATTAAACTTTATCATAGGTATGTATGTAAATGAAAAACGACTTATACGTAGGGTTAGCTACTATCCGCTCTTTCGGATATCCAAAGTAGGTCTTGTAACATATCCCCCGTGGATACATGAGAGACTATTGTACAAGCATTTCTAGTTTATATGATGTGTACATGATTAAATATTATGAACCTTATTCACTCTAGTGCAAAGCAAAAATACTGTACTGTGAAATTATAAATGTGATTATTTGCCAAAACTTTTTAATACCATACTATACACATTAGATAAAAAAAAAATTCTAAGACTGTAATTTTTTTTTTATTACCACACTGGCCGATTCCCACCAAGGCAGGGTGGCCCGAAAAAGAAAAACTTTCACCATCATTCACTCCATCACTGTCTTGCCAGAAGGGTGTTTTACACTACAGTTTTTAAACTGCAACATTAACACCCCTCCTTCAGAGTGCAGGCACTGTACTTCCCATCTCCAGGACTCAAGTCCGGCCTGCCGGTTTCCCTGAACCCCTTCATAAATGTTACTTTGCTCACACTCCAACAGCACGTCAAGTATTAAAAACCATTTGTCTCCATTCACTCCTATCAAACACGCTCACGCATGCCTGCTGGAAGTCCAAGCCCCTCGCACACAAAACCTCCTTTACCCCCTCCCTCCAACCTTTCCTAGGCCAACCCCTACCCCGCCTTCCTTCCACTACAGACTGATACACTCTTGAAGTCACTCTGTTTCGCTCCATTCTCTCTACATGTCCGAACCACCTCAACAACCCTTCCTCAGCCCTCTGGACAACAGTTTTGGTAATCCCGCACCTCCTCCTAACTTCCAAACTACGAATTCTCTGCATTATCTTCACACCACACATTGCTCTCAGACATGACATCTCCACTGCCTCCAGATTTCTCCTCGCTGCAACATTCATCACCCATGCTTCACACCCATATAAGAGCGTTGGTAAAACTATACTCTCATACATTCCCCTCTTTGCCTCCAAGGACAAAGTTCTTTGTCTCCACAGACTCCTAAGTGACCCACTCACCCTTTTCCCCTCATCAATTCTATGATTCACCTCATCTTTCATTGACCCATCCGCTGACACGTCCACTCCCAAATATCTGAATACATTCACCTCCTCCATACTCTCTCCCTCCAATCTGATATCCAATCTTTCATCACCTAATCTTTTTGTTATCCTCATAACCTTACTCTTTCCTGTATTCACTTTCAATTTTCTTCTTTTGCACACCCTTCCAAATTCATCCACCAATCTCTGCAACTTCTCTTCAGAATCTCCCAAGAGCACGGTGTCATCAGCAAAGAGCAACTGTGACAACTCCCACTTTATGTGTGA